ACACACACACACACAAGTTGAAAGAGTTGAATAGATTTCTGAATTGCTTTGCTTGGACTGTTGTGCCAAATGTCACATGTTCCGTTGATACACAAAACAAATTGATTTCCTCAAATTCTGGAAGCTGGGCATCCAAGACCGTGGCAATGGCAGGGTTTCTTTATCTCCAAAGCCTCCCTCTATAACTCACATGTACCTGGCCTTTGCCTGTGTCTTCCCAGGTTTTCTCTCCCTCCTCTCTCTCTCTCTCTCTCATCTGTTTACAAGGATGCCAGCCATATTGGATTTGGGCCCACTTTAATGTCTTGTTTTAAATTGGTTACTTCTTTCAAAGACTCATATAAAGCTGCATTCTGACATCCTGGGGCTTATTGCTTAGTACATAACAAATTCTGGACTCAAATCCTAGAAACGTTTTGTCGATCGATCAGCAGCGTTCCATTGTGTCATACTGAAGGGTGAGAGCCCTTCCCTATAACTGCCTTTAACGCAGCCTCCTGAGATTGACAGAATGTTCTCTGTTAGGTGGATCAGAGGTTCTTCCTCATGCATTTCATCTCAGATCCGGAGCATATGGCATTGAATTAATGAATTTATGAGATGTACTGCCCTTTCCATTTTCTAAGAAGCAACACGTTCTAAAGGGAGTTTTAAGAAATTAAACACTGGATCACAGCTTTATCTGATATTATCTAAGAATGTGACATTAGCCCTCAGTGGCTTAACAAAACATATGAATATGGAAATCTCACTATAACCTGCTCACTACTATGAACAACAATGAGCATGTTTTCAAGTTTTGTTTTGTTCAAGTGGGAGGTCCTCTATTTACGTATTTTCCCAAGTTAAAATCCTCAAAACATCATACAGCAGGAATCACTACAAAAACCTTCGTACAGCTCAGCATTCAACCAGACTATGTGGTTAACTTTGGGAGTCAGTATTCAAACACTGACATGCATACATTTCTAAGAAAATTATTCCTCTCAAAATTTTGGGTGCTTTGCACTGAATAAGGAATTGGCAAAAATAAAGGAATACCAGTGAATATGTTGAATATTATCCTCCTGAGTCTGATTTTCCTCCACTCAAAAGTATTTAATCTCAAGCCGGGCGGTGGTGGCGCACGCCTTTAATCCCAGCACTCGGGAGGCAGAGCCAGGTGGATCTCTGTGAGTTCGAGGCCAGCCTGGGCTACCAAGTGAATTCCAGGAAAGGCGCAAAGCTACACAGAGAAACCCTGTCTCGAAAGAAAAAAAAAAAAGTATTTAATCTCAATTAAATTAATGTTCCATCACCCATAACATGAAATCTTTCCAGACCTACTTTTTAAAAAAAAAAAGATTTATTTTATTTCAAATTATGTGTCTGTGTGAGAGTATATGCATATAAGTGAAGGCGCCTATGGAGGCCAGAGAGGGTGTCAGATCTCCTAGAGCTGGAGTTATAGACAGTTGTTAGTTAGGTGCATGTCTTAGGGTTTTTATTGCTGTGAAGAGACATCATGACCATGGCAACTTTTCTTTTAAAAAAGTATTTAGTTAGGGTGGTTCACTTACAATTTCAGAGGTTTAATCCAGTATCACCATGAAGGGAAGCATGGCAGTGAGCAAGCAGACATGGTGCTGGCTACATCTTGACCAGAAGCCAGCAGGAAGTCAACTGACTCTCTGGGCAGTATCCCGAGCATAGGAAACAATTACATTCAAACCACCACGTCCTACTCCCTGGCCCCATACACTTGTAACAATATTGTAATGCAAAATGCATTTAGTCCAACTTCAAAGTCCCCATAGCCTAGTACAGTCTCAACAATGTTTAAAAAGTCCAAAGTTCAAAGTCTTCTGAGATTCATGCAATCTCTTAACTGTAATCCCCTATAAAATCAAAATCAAAAAGCAGATCATATACTTCCAACATATAATAGCACAGGATATATATTACCATTCCAAAACATAGGGAAGGGAGCATAGTGAGGAAATACTGAACAAAATAAAGACCAAAAATAAGCTGAGCAAACTCCAAACACTGCACCTTCACGTCTAATGTCAAAAATGTTCTTCAGATCTCCAACTCTGTTAAGCTTTATTGACTGCAACATACTTCTTTCTCTTGGGCTTGTTTCACTCCCTGTTAGCAGCTCTCATTGGCAGGTATCCCATGATTCTGGCATCTCTAACATCTAGGGTTCTCCAAGGCAATCTAGGCTTCAACTTCACAGCTTCATGCAATGACCTCTCTCCTAGGCCTCCATTCAGGGACACCTCTGACACATGCCTTGCCTCAGTGGCTTTCTTTATGCACTGAGTCAAATTCCATAACCCATTTATTCTATCCACAACTCTAAAGCCAGAACCACGTGGACTATGCTGCCAATTTCTGCTATTTACTGGGGCTGAAACATGGCCCCCTTGTTTAATTATATCTTCACCAGCTTTTTGTCTTTCACGGCCTAAGCTTGTCTGTCCTGAAACTTGCTCTGTAGACCAGGCTGGCCTCAGACTCAGAGATCTGCAAGCCTCTGCCTTCCCAGTGCTGGGAAGAAAGGCCTGCACCACCACACATGGTTCTAAGCGTTTCTTTAATTCCTTTTCACAAATTGGGAACTTAGCTGGATGGGATCTTGCCCTAAGGTCACCACTTCCTGTATTCTATTTCTTAATCTGTTTATCTCCTTGAACACAGGATTTAGTTCCATTTCACATTTTTGGTGCTCCTTTTCTCCTTAAAATTTACATTTTGTAATTTGCCCTTCTCAGCTTGCTCCTTTTCGTTATAAATCTTCATTAGAGTTACGACTAATATCCACATGATAAAGTCTATACTAGGCTGTTTTGAGATTTCTTCTGCCAATGGAATTAGTCCAAAACTCTTCACTTTAGTCTCAGGCAAACTCTTTGGACAAGCGCAAAAGGTAGCCACTTCCTTCACCAAAATATCACAAGAACAATCTCTAGGCAACATACTAAAATTCTTCTCTTAAACCACTTGAGTGAGCCCCTGGCATTTCAAATAACTCTTAGCACTTCTTTCTTCCTTACTGCGCTAGTATGACCCATTAAGCAGTGCTTAAAGCATTCCACTGCTTTCATAACCCAAAGTACCAAAGTCCAAATTTCTCCAAACACACACATGGTCAGGCCTATCATAGCCATACTCCAGTTCCTGGTACTAACTTCTGTCTTAGTTAGGGTTTTTATTGCTGTGAAGAGACACCGTGACCACAGCAACTCTTATAAAGGAAAACATTTCATTGGAGTGACTGGCTTACAGTTTCAGAGGTTCAGTCCAGTATCATCATAATGGGGAACATGGCAGTGAGCAGGTGGTAATGGTGCCAGCTACATATTGACCAGAAGGCAGCAGGAAGTCAACTGACTCACTGGGTGGTATCCTGAGCATATTGTAACCTCTAACCCTGTCCCCACAGTGACACACTTCCTCCAACAAGGCCATACCTACTCCACCAAAGCCACTTCTCCTCGTAGTCCCCCTCCCTGTGAGAATATGGGGGTCAATTACATTCAAACCACCACAGTGCCTGACACAGATGCTGGGAACCAAGCTCAGGTTCAGGATTTTAAAGGGATGCTGAGCCATGTCGCTCACCTCTCAGGTCCACTTTTCAAGAATCCTCCACTTCCTGTCTCTCCACTTTTCTACTTGCCCTTTAATGCTTCATTAAAACAGAGTGGGCTTTAACTCTTGCCTGGTAGTGCTTGTAAAGCTTTAGCAACCAGGCTTGTATGATTAGAGTTTGATTTGCAGCATTTGCCATTTTTTTTTATACTGTGAATACTGCCATTGTGGTCATTTTTAAAGTTATTCACACAAAGTCAAGTGTTGTGAAAACTTAGCATTTGAATCCAACTTACCATAGGTTCACATCCCAACAGGGTAGTATTATCTCATGGCTTCAAGTGTATAGTTTCCCTGAACAGAGCTCCTGGATCTGCGGAGCTCCCATCTGCCCTTCAAAATCTAAGCACTGACGGCCTTCCCAGTGGGCTTATGTCTCTCTGTCTTGTGCTTCTCCTCAGCAGTACAAGTGCTATGGCATCAGCTTCATCATCACAGTCTTTAATGTATCTGCTTCCCAACTAGACTCTTCAACTATATAATTTTACTCAAATTTTGCACGTGAAAAAATTTGATGCTAAGAGCCAAATGGTGTGTAGAAACATAATCAATACCCCGTTTTAGAAAGTATCTCAGTAGATCTGAGAATAGATAGCTTACTCTAAAGTTTTTATTTACCTTCCTTTGACAGTGGACAAATCATATAGGCTCTCCGAGCCCACATTCTTCTCTGCAAAATGGATATAATAAAATGTAACCTCATAACAGTGCTGCCAGAGAGCACAGCCCAGACCCAGTCAGTGACTGCCAATAGCTTACATCATGAGGGAGACACTTTGGTCAAGGGACAAGGTAGGATGTATCTTCTGCAGACATCCCTCTAGAGTGAGGCAGCTTTGTTGCTATGTGTGAAGTAGAGTAAACTTTATTTTTGAAACATGAGGCCTTACCTAGAACTCCTAGTCTCAAAACATCCTCATGCCTCAGCCTCTAGAGTAGGTGGAGCCACAGGTATGCACCACTGTTTATTATAAGTCTACATTCTTAACATGTAATCTACTTTATTGTTCTATCCTGATGCCTGCTCATTTAAAAAGGAATTCCTATTAAAATGTCAAATTAGGGCAAGTGTGATGTCTCAGCAGGTTTAAACATTGTTGCTGCCAAGCCTGAACCACATGTTGGGAGAAAGGAACAACCTCCATAACGTTGTCTTTTGACCTTCACATGTGTGCCTTGGCAGGGTACACACACACACACACACACACACACACACACACACACACACACACACACACGCGCGCGCGCGCAAAACTCAAACTAAATTTTAAACATTATTTTCTCGTAGTAAGAATTTCATAATGCTGGTTGCGACCATTTAATCTCTGTTTTAATTCTCTTTTCTGCTATCATTGTTTCAGCCTTTGCATGCAAGATTCCTTCCCACTGACTGTCCAGCCCTGTGTGATACCAAAGGACTGTGAGACTTCCGAGTGGTCCCCCTGGAGTCCCTGCTCCAAGACTTGCCGTTCTGGGAGTCTCTCACCTGGAGTTAGGAGCAGGAGCCGGAACGTGAAGCACATTGCTATTGGAGGTGGCCAGGAATGCCCAGAACTTCTTGAGAAAGAGACCTGCATTGCTGAAGGGCAGCTTCTGCAGCCCTGTCCCAGGTATTTCACTTTTGAATATTTTTAATAGCTATAACCTCCTTTGAAGTAGTGATAGAAAAGTTAGCATCGATAAACATGGCCAGGACTTGTTTCTGTGGAATCTTTCTGAGTATTGGACTCCTTTAATTGGCAATGCAGTGCAGTGGCTTAAGAGCAGGGTCTTCTGTGAAGGATCACACCGTCCAAGTTCTGTTTCTACAGCATTCGCCTTCCACGATTTCCAAAAGTGCCTTAGTTTCCTCATCCTATGTTGCTGTTTACTTCCTTTAGTGCTTCACACAGAGTAAATGACGAAAGTGTTAGTTACTTTTATCTGGCCTGACACCTGTAACTATTTGTAACTAGCCCAGAGTCCTTCATAACATGCTCGGTGTGCAAATGAGCCATCAGTAGTCAGAGAGATGAAATAGACCCATGAGGTTGCATTGCTAACAAATTGCAGCACCCCAGTTCTGATTCTCCTTTGCCCTGTGTAGCATTGCCTGTTTGTGCCACAAATTCTTTCCCCAGATTCCCTAGGGAGCCAGAGGATATTGGAAAGTGGCTCAGTATCCATCACAAGCTGGATTTTTACATCTTGATATTCATTTTGATTTTTGGCCTGGTTATATTGCACTTGGTAAAGGCCTCCAGGATATCTTTCTTTAGGTAGTGGGTTTGTGGTGGCCTCCAAGCTCATATGACCGAAGTCCTCTGAGACTGGTTATCTATTAGGAAGTCTACAGTAATAGAGAGATGTTCTGAACTCCCTGTTAGATGACATTTTCTAGAACTTCTCGTAGCCTGGAAGACATGAGGATGGGATTCCTCTTCCTAGAGAAAAATATTAAAAAAGGCAGAAATGGTTTATTATATGAATTGATTATTTTCTGACAAACCCAACTGGTTCTCTTGCTTCCTGAGCCTGACTAGCTACACAACCTAGAGGAAAGTACTGGGCCCCCTGGGGTTGGTGTTCCAGGTATGCTGCCTGGATTTTCCTTAACTCTGAATAGTGTGCACATTGTGGAATTCAAAGATATGCCTCTGTTGTAAGATTTCTAACCCAATCCTTATTCACCTTCTTGGTCAGCATTTACTGAACACACTGTATGTTATTTATCATTTATTTTACCAAAATGACTCTAGATTCTTTTTTTAAATCACTATTTTTTTAAAAAGTGTGTGTGTGTGTGTGTGTGTGTGTGTGTGTGTGTGTGTGTGTGTGTATGTGTGTATGTGTGTGTCAGAATTTATGCACATGAGTGTCATTGCTCATGGAGGCCAGAAGAGGGCATTGGATCCTCTAGGAATGGAACTACAGGTGCTTGTGAGCTGTGGGATGTATGTTCTGGGAACTCGACTAAGGTCCTCTGCAACAGCAGTACACTCTTAATCACGGACCCATTTCTGCAGCCCCATATTCCTTAGATGCTTCTCACTCCTGACTTCAGTAGCACAGTAGGATGCAGCAAATGGTCCTTTACACATCAACTCAATCATATCGAATCCATCTCATGTTGTTCATTTTGCAGCCACCTTTCAAAACACTAATTTTGAGTAAACTAGGGGCTTGCAGATGATATAAATATGATCTTTCTATTTCAAGGCTGGATATGCTTGTAATCAGATTTTAAGTCCATTGTTTACTTGATGTGGCATCTCAAAAAAGCTACATATATTTTCTAGGACACTTCCCTTTGTGTTAATTTTATATCACTTACATTATATGTCTGAAACTTTTGAGACTGAGTGTGCAAAATTTGAGGCCCAGTGCTTAGGGCGTAAAGACAGTATTGAAGGGCTGACATTGCTGTTGTATTTTCAGGTATAATTTTGGTCCTTGACCAAAGAAAATCCTATCTTCCCTTGAACAGCAGATCATAGTAGTCACAGGTTGAATAAAAAATATTTTCTGTGTATTTTGGAAATCTTCCTCATGATGTGTAATTCAGATTTTTAAATAGTGTGGATGTAGGAATAGAATCTTGATTTATCATCGTATATTATTGTGGGTCCGTAATATAATAGAGCCATAAATGAACTAAATATGAAGACTACATAGAAGAGAGTTTATCATCTATTGAGACTCTCTGGAGACCCACTCAGTCTCTTCCCACTATATCACTCTGAGAGTCATGATGTTTTCCCTAGTGACAGACACCGAGTTGAGATATGTATACCAGGACACATGTAACTCTCTGTGCCATTCTTTAGCAGGAAAATAAGTCAGGACTGTGATAATTATGCACCCAAAATGAAGTCCTTTAATGATCTCCAGTCAATTGATATTTAATATCTGGAAGTAGTGACTAGCAGATTATTCTGATGACAAGCTGGCCCTCTAGTTCTGCTATTTGAACACATGGATGAGTTTGGCATTTATTTAGAAACAAAATCAAACCCTTTCAAATGATGAACCTGCTGGAAATAAGCTTCTTGGAGAAATCGCTGATGTACCAACCAGTGTTGCCTGTAGAGAACAATGTGTTAACTAATGTTTCTCCTTGGTTATGGGCAGGAAAATGAATGAATAACAACAGAGAAATCAGCATCGGCCACCCTTCTTATTTATCTGGGTTCTGAGCTGTGGCTTCTACCACAGGAAAGATATACCACCCAGCATAAAGGCTGTGGACCAGCTTTTGTCTCTCATTTGACATTGGTGATTAAAATTCATTGAGAGCAATGGAAATGAAAACAAAAATCTATTAGAAAATACAAATGCCCATATCTCCATCCCAGAATTCATGAGTGTCCGCATATATCAAACAATTTTATTCACCCCATTTCCCCATAGCAGGAAAATGCATGGTTCTGTGAGTCTTCACGTTGCTTTGATTAAACCCTCACGTTGTGATTTGGCTGTACTCTTTCTCTGTCTTTTCTATGGAAAATGTGTTTGATCATGAAATAAATAAGCAGAGTTCTTGTTCTGTGCCAAGCATGGGGTTAAATGCTAGAGAGACTTCAGAGAGCACAATAGACAAAAGCCCCTCCCTTCATGGAAACACACTTCAGTAACAAAGGAAAAACATACAGTAAATTATATATTTGTTTTTTGGTGGCTGAGTTGTTAAAAATAAAATATTTAGGTAAAGAGAGAAACCTGTGGAATGCTGTGGTGAGCTTGGTCAGCACTGCTTACTGAATTAAATAGTGTTAGTAGAAAAATTTTATTTGAACAAGGGCTATTTAGGTTGGGGATATTATTTAATGAACTTGAATAACCACTTGGGAAATTAGGGGACAAGAAAGGCATGTGATGGAGGAGAGATTTAGTCCCTGCAAACAGGTATTTTCCCCATAGTAGTGTTGAGGATGCCTCACTAGCTGGGCTCAGCTGACTCACTACAGCTGTGACCATCGAGTCAGTCCTTGGCACCAGGGTGTGGGAATAAGTGTAAGTAAGAGGGGCCAGTTTTAAGATACTCCTGAGAATGAGAACATGTTGGAAATTGCGTGACTTAATCTGAAAAGAAATAGGTCTAGTCCTGTTGTGCTTATAAGGACATTTTAGAACTGAGTAAGAGTTAGCATTGTGCACACTTAAGCTCATCTCAGGGGTGTGCTTTTGACACAGACTCAAGATCAGCCCAAGAAACTCCCTTCTCCAACATGACACAGCCTGTAAGTAATTATGTGTGTCTCTACCAGCTTTAGCATAACACTAAACATACTCACCCTGGGTGATAAGCATGGTAGAGACATGGGTCTCCTTTTTACCATGACCTTGAGTTCTTTGGGGTTTTCCTCTACTACTGGGTATCAGTTTCTGTCCTTAGACACTAAAAGATATGCAATGCATAAAAACGCGCAGGACCGTGGCAGGTATTAGCACAGGGATCATTGGAACTATGCTGTGCTGAGCTAGCCCCACCCTTCACTGGCCCTGGGTTGCCTGGTCCTGTTCCCGACTGGATATTGCAGCTGGAGAGCTGGCCCTACCCCTCAGGGGAGAGCTCAACCCCACACTTGAGAAAGATGGCCCCACCCTTCACCATAGGCATGCACCTCACCTGGGAGACACACTAGAGCTGACCTTGTGGTCTGGGACACAGGTGAGCCAACCCTGAAGGCTTGAGAGCAGGAGAGCTGACCCCATCCACCCTCATCGGCCATTTGGTGACATGGATGAGAGAAAGACACCACCCCCTTACCCATTACCACCTGCAGTAAGTGAGAAAGCTGGCCCTGGGGTCACGAGAGTGAGAGAAACAGCCCTGTCCCTCACCAGCTACACCACACAGGAGAGCAGGCCCTGTGCCCCCGCCCCGGGCAGTGCGCTAGAGCTGACCCTGTTGTCAGGGTCGAAGGTAAGCCAGTCCTGAGGGTGTGAGACAAGGAGAGTTGACCTCACCACCCCTTCAGATTCCCCCTACAGCAATCAGGAGAGAGAGCCCTGCATCTTGCCTGGGCAAAACAGTCGAGCTGGCCCTGACGATATGAGTAAGGGGACCTGAATCTGAGGGCCACAGAGCAGGAGAACTGGCCTGGCTCCTTGCTGTAGGCTGCATTGGGTGAACTAGCCTAGGCAGTGCTGCAGAGCTCATCTGGGTAGTGACAATGAAGAAAAGCTAGGGAGCTGACCAAGCAACCTATTACCCAGGCACAGAACCAGGGCTGTGAGGTAGCCACTCCAATAGATCTATTGAATCTATGAACTGTTGGAGCATGTGAAGGGGATAAACCTCCAGATCTAAAACAGCAGGATCTCCATGACACAGGACAGCAGAATATCCAAGAGGAGCCCCAGTGAAAGCACATTATTGGTGTTGTAGCAGAAACCAGAGACCTTGAGCCAGAACAAGGACTTGTGGTAATGAACACTTGCAAACAACGATGATCAGACTGAAGGGTAAACTGTGTCTCAACCAGTCTCACTGCAGCTTCCACAACAAGATTCATCTTGTTTGTTTGTTTTGGGTTTTGGTTTTATTTTTGTTTGGTTTGGTTTTTGGTTTTTCTTTTAAATTTGATTTTGTTTTTCTAGGGGAGTACATACAAGGACAGAGGGCACA